TAATTAGTCAAGTTATTGTATAATGATGGTTTGTTCTGTAGACTATCGAGAAAAAAATTGCTTAAAGGGGCTAATAATTTTGACCTTAAAATAGTGTTTAAAAAATTACAAACCGCTTATGTTTTAGCCGAAATAAAACAAATCAGACATTCTCCAGAAAAAAAAAATATTATCAGACATACTGTGAAAATTTCCTTGCTCTGTTAAACGTCATTTGGGAAATATTAAGAAAAAGAAAGAAAAAATCAAAAGGGGGCTAATAATTCTGACTTCAACTGTATGTTTTGCCATAAAAGTTAATTTACTTAACATACACACAGTAGCTTGCAAAAATGCTCCTTTTAGCTAAACATTCCAGATGGCATTTAGAGATTTTTGCATCTGAATTCTTCATTTCTGCTTGATCATGCAACACCAAAGAATAGATTAATGATGCTGAAAACTCAGCACTGAATCACAGGAATAAAGTACTTTTTAAAAAATGTATTCATATTCAACTGTGATTTAAATGTACCCAGAACTTAGAAAAAGTACACAATTCATCAACTAAAAGAAGAAAAGTAGACTTATTTGCTTACATTAATACAAATCTTCCAAAACTCTGACCGGTAATGTATGTCATTTTGCTTCTCAAGCAAATGCTTCTTGATTTTTGACCATCTTTAGTTATTTGTGGTGGATACCTTTTTTTTTTCTTTCAAAAAGTGCAATCAAAAATTGTATTTGTTTCTTCTAATGGGTATTTTTTTGAAGATTATTTTTTAAAAATAATACCTTTCAAGGCATTTACAGTGAAAGAACATGTTGGCATACTGTGATGTCTTCAGTTATATCTTAGATTGTTTTTTACTTGAAAAGGTATTTCAAAATGTCTTAAATGTATATTCATAAGGAAAGCTGTACAGTCAGATTAAAACATGGCCAATTCCAGTTTCTCTTTCACAATCAGAAACTCTTTTAGACTCTTTTGCTGTCAGACTCTTAGCAAACCTTTAGCAGAATGTGTCATTTAAATCAATAGATCTTCTGCACTTTCCATGAATGATGAAGCTCTACAATGCACACACCTCCCCCAATTGCAATAATAATTCAGAATTCACCATCATCATCATCATCATCGTCATCATCATTATCATCATCATCATCGTGAAAACACTGCTTCAGATTGGCTCAATCTGCAATTGAGGTTTGATGTGTCAACACAAATGGTAGGAAATCTATCCACCTTTTCCCCATGATTTCATAAATACTGCATTTCAAATGATGGATTGCACTTCCGGTTTGGGGAACTTCCATTCAAAAAGAACTAAAGTCACTGTAAAGTCAGTGAGGCATACTGTGTATTTGGCTTTGTGCCATGATGGAGGATAATAAGGGTGTGCTTGCTTGTGTCAGTGTAACATATGTGTTTATTGTCATATACTGTAATTAATTTTACTTATTTTATATTGTAATATTGTCACAGGCATATTTATGTACACTCACCGGCCACTTTATTTGGTATACCCATTCAACTGTTTTTATTGCAAGTTTCTAATCAGCCAATCACATGGTAGCAGCTTTAGGCACGTAGACATTAGCTAGAGTTTAAACTGAGCATCAGAATGGGGAAGAAAGGGGATTTAGGTGAACGTTCACATCTTTGAACGAGTATTTCAGAAACTGCTGATCTACTTGGATTTCCATGCACAACCATCTCTACGGTTTACAGAGCATGGTCCAAAAGAGATGATATTATCCTGTGAGCTGATAGAAAGGCAACAACCGAGGTATGCAGAAGAGCATCTCTGAACGCACAACACGCCAACCTTGAGGCATATGGGCTACAGCAGCAGAAGACCGGGTGCCACTCCAGCCAGCTAAGAACAGGAAACCTATGGTACAATCCGCACAGGCTCACCAAAATTGAACAATAGAAGACTGGAGAAACTTGCCTGGTCTGATGAGTCTCGATTTCTGCTGCAACATTTGGATGGTAGGGTCAGAATTTGGCATCAACATCATGAAACCATTGATCCATCCTGCCTTGTATCAGCGGTTCAGGCGGGTGGTGGTGGTGTAATGGTGTGGGGGATATTTTCTTGGCACACTTTGGGCTCATTAGTACCATATGAGCATTGTGTCAACGCCACAGTCTACCTGAGTATTGCTGCTGACCATGTCCATTCCTTTATGAACACAGTGTACTCATCTTCTGATGGCTACTCCTAGCAGGATAACGCACCATGTCATAAAGCGAGAATCGTCTCAGACAGGTTTTTTGAACATGATAATGAGTTCACTGTATTAAAATGGCCTCCACAGTCACCAGATCTCAATCCAATAGAGCACCTTTGAGACGTGGTTGATTGAGAGATTCGCATCATGGATGTGCAGTGACAAATCTGTCAGACAAATCAGACCAACAACTGTATGATGCTATATAGCCTCTGAAAAATTAAAATCTCTGAGGAACATTTCCAGTACCTTGTTGAATCTGTAATGAAGGATTAAGGCAGTTTTGAAGGCAAAAGGGGGCCCAACTCGGTACTAGTAACGTGTACCTAATAAAGTGGCCGGTGGGTGTATAAGCTCATTTGAGATTCCTGTGTTGCTCCTCTGCTTTATTTTGTCTTTGTTTTCTCCATAGTACAGTAATATTTAACATATGTCTGTAAGATTGCTGCAGAAAGATTTGTTAAGAGTTTTGGAGGTTATTTATGCTCTGCAGAAAGTAATTTTTTAATTCTAAGAATTTTTATTTTTAATATTCATATATTTTCGGTTTTAATATACCTAATTTAATCCATTTTTAAATTTTCACCCAATGTTTATAATTTAATGGAAGTTACTCCCATAATTCACTCAAGCATCATGGGGTGCAGGAAAAAGGTGGATAATTATCAACATTTACAGTTTCTTCCTTATGACAGACAGACAACAGAACCAAAAAAAAAGAAAGAAAATGAGGGTTTTTGCATTTGTGTCAACCTGAGGCTTAGAAATGGATGTTTTGCAATGTGTACCAAGCATTTCATGAAAGCCCAACCTTAAACTGTAAGCTGTAATGTCGCAACTCTTCCAATAGGGGGCAGAAGTGGCACTTCCAAAATCCTGGCGATTCCCTGAGGCCAGACGATCATCTGGATTCCTTTAACTCCTTGCATATTTTCAAATCACAAACACCCTGCTTGCTGGGAATTATCAGATGACATATAAACATTATTGAAAATCTTTGGAAATGCTTAATACATGTTTACGCTGAATTATAGAGGCAAAACATCATGAAAAAGCGTCTTTTTTTCACACAAATCTAACAATGAATCTTTGTGTTTTTTCATCCAGCGTGAGTTCAGCCAGGAGTACACCTGCTTTTCATTCTTTTTAGACCACTGTGTTATTCATAGGCCGATATATCTTCCAAATAGAAAGGAACTTAAAGCCAAACTGTGTGTAGTTTCTTCCTCATGAAGATGGACTCTCTGCAACCCGGACGCCTGAAAGAAACAGTTTCTAAGTGCCTTGGGGAAAAGAAACGAATGTGACTGTGGTCCTGCTAACACGCGGTACGTTTACATGGACTACAGTGTTCTGAGATAAATATGATTAAGGCAATCCTCTGATTAAGGTTCTAACATGTAAACAGAAGGCATCCTAAAAGTAAACAAAAATTGAGTTAAGTATTTCTATTTTAGCTGCATTGTTTAAGTGCCGTAGAGACACATTAATCACCCTATTATTGTTGTGCAGGACTGTTCACTCCATTTTGCATAAGGATTCGCACTAAGGTGGCATGAGCAGTGCTAAATTTGAGCTGGGTCTTGCCGGATGCTGTTCTGGAAAATGTCAAAAATTAGTGTTCTGTGTTCCGGTATTTATTTTAATGGATCCAGAATTAACTCGTGCGTAGTAAATACCTACATGTTTGTGTGTGTGTGAGAAAGAGAGAGAATGTGAATGAACGCTAGCGAAGGCTGTGTGGATTGTGTGCGGACGACGGTAGTTATCAAGCGCAATATTTTCAGCCAATCAGCTTCCTTATGTTTAATCACGTGCGCAGTGAGCAGCGAAAATAAATAGTGGCCTACCTGAATAATATATATATATGTATGTGTGTGTGTGTGTGTGTGTGTGTGTGTGTGTGTGTATGTATATATATATATATATATATATATATATATAAATATATATATATATTGACCTTATTCTAAAATGCGGAAGTGCGCCTGTTTTCGCGATTGTCTTAGAACTTCCGATTCAGTCGCCTATTGGAGAAATGACTAGGAATAATAAACGGCAGAAAATGGTCAAACTACTTGCTCCACAAACAAATGTTTGCATGACTACACAGACCAAGTAGAATAATATAAGAAGAAAATATCAAATTGCAACATCAAGCAGCGTAACGAGCAGTTTTTAACGTCAAAAAATGAATGGAAGTGAATGTGACCGGAAGTGGCGAGACAAAAAGATTCAAATGGCAGCGCCCGCTCGTCGGCGGAGAATATGGTGAACACTGTAACTCGGTATATATGTGAAGTGAATTTCATGTGCAAATGAAGTGAACTTGACACGCTAAATTTGGCAAGTAAACTTTAAATGTTCACGCGTGTAATTATTAGCGAATAACAAAATCGATTTTTAGGGCAAAGCAGTGGCGCAGTAGGTAGTGCTGTCACCTCACAGCAAGAAGGTCGCTGGGTTGCTGAATCGAGCCTCGGCTTAGTTGGCGTTTCTGTGTGGAGTTTGCATGTTCTCCCTGCGTTCGCGTGGGTTTCCTCTGGGTGCTCCGGTTTCCCTCTCAGTCCAAAGACATGCGGTACAGGTGAATTGGGTAGGCTAAACTGTCCGTAGTGTATGAGTGTGTGTGTGAATGTGTGTGTGGATGTTTCCCAGAGATGGGTTGTGGCTGGAAGGGCATTCTCTGCGTAAGAAATTAGCTGGATAAGTTGGCGGTTCATTCTACTGTGGCGACCCCGGATTAATAGAGACTAAGCCGACAAGAAAATGAATGAATGAATTCGAGGCGTAAAAACTTGCTGGATAAGTTGGCGGTTCATTCCGCTGTGGCGACCCCAGAATAATAAAGGGACTAAGCCGACAATAAAATGAACGAATGAAAATTGATTTGCGCAAATCGCATCTGGTGTGATGATGCACAAAATGAAAGCCTCACCCTCTATTTAATATTACATTTCAGTCGGAATTACATCAAGATGCTAAAGTCTCAGACTTCCAACTTTAAGTACAAACATCTTAAGTGGGACTTGAGCGTAGCATTAGTATTATAACATCTAAAGCAGGAACATGACAGGTATATTCTAAAATCAACTCAGGTAAACACCTCAATCATAATATTGCCTTATTCAGAAGAAGATAAATAATTGGATGACTCATGACCATGTAAACGTACCCACTGAAATCAACACAGTGGCGCGCTTTAAGGACAGCTGCATGTAGAAGTGCATCTGAGGTATTTTGTGTCCTCTCATTCACAGCAAAATGATTGTGAGTTCAGAGATGAGGCGGTTCGGCTGTGGAAAGCAGAGGTAGACCTCTGTAAGGCAAAAGAAATAAAAAAAAAAACTCCAGAACGTTGCGAGACTTCCCAAACGTGCATGCAAACCAGGAAAAACTCACTTAATCCGGCATGGTATTCCGTAATGAATGGGTTGGACAGTATTTAGCGCATTGCGTAATGTTCCTGCCGTGTGTTTCGTACATGAGGAGTTTATGTGATTTGATGCGGCGCCTCCAGCATCTCCATGAGGAAAGTGTCGATCGGCGTGTCTCCAATTAACTTGAAGAAAAAGAGATGCTCCAGACACTTGAGGCCGATGGAGCGCAGGGCGGGCAGACGCAGCAGCAGCTTGGCAAACCTGCGCGATTTTTAAATATTACAGAGAATATTAGGCAAAACAACACTGATAATAAACATGAATGTAATGTTAATATACTTATAGAATGTTAAAAAACATAAACATACAGTGGAAGTCATAATTATTAGCTCTCTATTATTAGAAATATTTCCCCAATGATGTTTAAGAGAGCAAGGAAATTTTACACAGTATTTCCTATAATATTTTTTCTTCTGGAGAAAGTCTGATTTGTTTTATTTTGGCTAAAATAAAAACAGTTTTAAAACTATTTTAAGGATAATATTATTAGTACCTTGATAAATCTCCCTTCAACTGTAAATCTGTAAGTTTCTTAAAAATTAAAATCACTAAATTAGCACCAGATTCCAATGTAATCATTCAATTGATTGGGCGTTATCAGTGGCAGATATGGGCCAGTAGGGGCCTTCTGCGCCTATTTGTAGTCTCAGTAGGCTGTAATCATCCAGTGAAAGAACGAAGTGTACATAATCACGTGGGATGAAAGTGTGTGTGTGTACCTGCCAGGCTGATCGGGGTATTTGTGTTTACAGTAGGCCTCTAGTGAAGCATACACTCGTTCCCTTAATGCCTCCACCTCTGATGGATTAGACAATCCTTTTGAATCTAAAATAACACAAACCACAATATATTTTGAAATACTAATGATGAGTCATTTTCACTCTCTCATTCACACACACATTCAATCGCCACGGCCATTTTTAGTTTAGCTGATTCACTTATACCGCATGTGTAAGACATGCGCTGGAGTATAAGTAAATTGGCTAAACTAAAATGTGAGTGAGTCGTTTTCACAGTGTCAGCTTTATATTTCACAGGAATCACTATGTAAAGATAAACAATCAAAACCACAGAAAGAGCAACTTCCAAAGTTGAAGGTCAGGAAGAAAGTAATCATTTATACATTGAGTAAATATTTTAAATTGATCAACTGTACGACTGAAGACAATTAATGAAGCATTTCTAATTGTAATAAATGTTATATATATATATATATATATATATATATATATATATATATATATATATATATATATATATATATATATATATATATATATATATATGATATTAGGCAGAACAACCATTTAAACCTTGATTTTTAAAAGTCTGTAAGCTTTAAAATTAGCTAAAAGAATGAAATCACCAGTTTATGATTATTTTTGTCACCAATGATTTCTGATGAATCCTGTGACACTGTAGACTGGAATAATGATGCTGAAAAAAACATGATTGGCATTATAGTTTAAAGGTTTATGAAACCCTCTAGTACTTTTTTTCTGAGATTTTAACAGATTTATGTGTGTTGATCATCAGTTAAGACAATGTTAGCACCTGTTAGCTTTAATTGTGGGAAGAACTGGATCATTTTAAGCTTTTGTCAGCTAATTTCAGCTTCTGGGTTTAAAATGATTTTTGGGGCGGGATCAAAATCAGCAACGTAGCGCAAAGCTGCAAGTGCAAAGATGACGTGTTGATTTCTCATTGTCATTCATAGCGGAGTTTTCTTATCCTATGAGAAGACCCTGCTTCTTAATTATTTATGACTGCGCATACTTTCCGAAGGCAAGTGCCAAGCTGTGAGACATGTTGATGACTGAGTTAGACTGCATCCACAGACCCACGGTACACAGTATTTAGCCGTTCATGAAGGGTCGTATGTGTTTGTGTCCATGATCTATGGGGTTTGTGGCCTGTTTCCCCGCGATGCTGTCTAGGCCGATACAGCAAAGCTGTTTGTGTCCAGCAAGCATTTTTGTCTGGAGAGCAGTACGAGAATTGGAGAATGGCGGACGTTATCTTTTATCAGGAGTTGTTCACATTTAGACACATCTCCGTGCTGCTGTGTTTGCCTAAATCCACTTGATTACTAGCAGGGCTAATGGTTAAAATAGACAGGGCAAGAGACCTGCTGCACTGTGTCTGCATTCAGACCCGGGGATTGAGGGAGAAGTCCTCATTTATAGTGTTTATATAAGCACGGTTATCTTTATAATGATATAAATTGTGGTTATCTGTATATGAAATTACAAAAAATTGTGTTCTATTAATGTCAACAAAGGGCTAGCAGTCTACTTACACAAGCTGTTATTAAACCAAACCAGCTACAGCTTCTTACACTGAAGTTTACAGTCACAGGAATCTTATTTATTCTGACTTCATTCCAACACATTTTTAAAAGACTTGCCAAAACAAACAGCATAATCAAGTGGCATCTTATAGGCGCTTGACTATGAGAATGTGTTTAAATACGCATTACTGTACCTGGATTGAACAGAACAATGGCTCGCAGGCATCCGAGTTCAGTCTTGTCCATTTGCATGTCTCTCATCTTTGACACAAGCTCTGTCAGCACTCTGGATGAAAAAAAAAAGTGACAAAAATCGCTTACAGCCAGTCTGATGAATAACAAACTCATATTTCCCCACAGCACACTCCTAAAATGGAGGGAAATGTTCTGTAACATATTAAACAGGCGCACTCTTGAGTCATCGCTCCACCTTTACATATAGTTTTCATATCGCCTTGAAAATCAAAGTCATTACGTCTTATAAGACACATCTATCTGTGCTGCGGACGGAGGATATTTCATTAGCGGAGACACCAGCATATCTCACTCTGGCAGTGAAACATTAGCACAGCGCTACATAAAACTGCCACATGGCCTAATGTAAAAATGGCATTAATCAAGAGTAGATGTGCGGGACACTTTCATGATGCGCCGTCACATATCATTATAGAGGTTCTTTGCAAAAATTCATGCATGCGTGACCTACGGCTGTCACAAATCTTTTATAAGACACACAAGGTAGATCACAAGTCCATTGCGTCTGTAAACTGAACACACTGACAGTGACTTTAAAGAAACACTCCACTTTTTTACAGCTATGCTACAATTAAACATTCATTCATTCATTCACTTTCCTTCGGCTTAGCCCTTTATTCATCAGGGGTCGCCACAGTGGAATTATTCCAGCATATGTTTTACACAGCAGATGCCCTGCCAGCTGCAACCCAGCACTGGGAAACTTTAATACAAACTTATTCATTCATACATACACTACGGCTAATTTAGCTTACCCAATTCTTCATGTACGGCGTGTCGGGAAAACCAGAGCAGCCAGAGGAAACCCACGCGGACACAGGGAGAACATGCAAACTCCACACAGAAATGCCAATTGGTCCAGCCGGGACTCGAACCAGTGACCTTGCTGTGAGGCGACAGTGCTAACCACTGAACTACTGTGTCGTCTTACAGTTAAACAGTTGAGTTTTAGCTTAGCTTAGCATAGATCATTGAATCGGATTAGACCATTAGCATCTCGCCCAAAACATTCAAAAAAGAGAGAACATTTTTACTTTCCTATTTTATTTTTGGATTTATTTGAATCTTATTTCATTCTTATCATTTGAATCTTATATTTAATACAATAATGTCAACTGGACCGCAGATTGAAAACCCGTAATATATACATTAATAGTCAACAAGTTTTTACATTTTTTTTAACCAATTTTTATTTTCAGTGGCTTTTTTTAGCTTTGTGTTTTACACATTCATTTCTTTCATAGAGATGTTTACAAATTGTTGTAAAGAATATCTTTTAAAAGTTATAAGCCACAATAAATCAACCAAACTAGTTATGAAGTCAGTCACAACTTTATAAACTTTGAATTTAAGCAAAAATGTATTCGACAATTGAACTGCTACAAGATTTTACTGTCAACCGATTTGAATGTCACACGGACACAGGGAGAACATGCAAACTCCACACAGAAATGCCAACTGGTCCAGCTGGGACTCAAACCAGTGACCTTGCTGTGAGGCGACAGTTGAGTTTTAGCTTAGCTTAGCTTAGCATAGATCATTGAATCGGACTAGACCATTAGCATCTCGCACCAAAACATTAAAAAAAGAGAGAAAAATTTTACTTTTTTATTTATTTTTTGGATTTATTTGAATCTTATTTCATTCTAATCATTTTAATCTTATATTTAAAACAACAGACAATTGAACTGCTACAAGATTGTAATGTCAGCCGATTTGAATGTCATCACTCGATTGATTAGCCACTCTCAGTGGTTATCAGTTGATAGATTTGGGCCAGTAGGGGCCTTCTGCGCCTACTAGTAGACTCGGAAGGCTATTAACATCCATCCACATGGTTAATCAGCTGTAGATCAAATACAGTTGGATGTAAGCAAGTATATTATAAAATTTCCCATTAATTGTATTCTATTAACGTCTACTCCTACCCCAACCCTAAACCTAACCATCACAGTAATGTAAAAACAGATCTAGATCTGGAGTCTTCTCTATTAGTCTAGCTGATTAACAATGTGGATAGATGATAACAGCCTTCTGAGCCTACTAGTAGGTGCAGAAGGCCCCTACTGGCCCATATTTAATCAGCTGATAAATATTAAGTGAACATTTGAAGCAGGTGGTACTGTACTTATTGGCTTTAATAAGGAAAAGAACTAATCCCATGAAACACTGCACATGATGAAAATTACAAACTAAAAGTGAACATAAAAATGAGACAGGAGAAAAAAAAGCTATTTAATCACGTCAGTATTTTTTAGTAAATTTTTTTTGCAAATGATTTTGCACTTTATCAAGAAACTTTGTGTCAAAACTGAACTGCTATTTTACTCTGACCTCATATTATTTTATATACAAAACAATTTTATTTTTTTTTCTAAAACTTAAAGTTTATGTTTGGGGAACACAACAATTTTGCAAGTGAACATAAATGGCTTATGACTAATACTGCTATTAAACTATTTAACCCTTTTATATCTGCGATCACACTAGTGTGATCAGTCTTAGCTTGTGCCTGAAGCGTATAATCACACCAGTCAAAAGTCTTTTTTGATTTTTTTTAATGAGATGCTAATGGTCTAATCCGATTTAATGATTTATGCTAAGCTAAGCCAAGCTAACCCCCCCCCCCCCTCCCCACCCCGCATCCAGATCTAGAGATTGACAGAATGGATTCAAAAATGGTAAAACTCAACTGATTAACTCCAGGTAAGTTGTAAAATCAGCCTATTTATGAATAAAGTTAAGTATTTTAAACTCTTGAGTGAAAGGATTAAGTATTTAATCTATTGAGTATTAAAATAAATTAAAAAAAGGTTGAAATATTGATTGATTATATATGGACTACTATATCTCACAGTACGGCTGTATTTGTGTAAAATAGTTTTTTTTTTTTTACTTCAATATCTATTCTATTACTATTTATAGTGCATAAAATGTACCCCTTGCTGACATCTTATCTTCATTAACATTCCTTACATTGACCAAAACTGCCAATGCTTATTAATGTTCAAGAATTCTCCTTTTGGGATCCACCAAAGACAAATCCATTCCCCTCAGAAACCACAGACATTCACTAACCTGTCAAAAATGGCTCCGACACCAGCAGTATGTGCGCTGTTTCTATGGACGTGAAGGCCTGTAGCTAATAATATCCCGTCTTTCACAGCTATGGAGCGATGCGAAAAAGAAGCAATCAGGAGTTCATTCCACCCTAGAAACAGAGGACAAAAACACATTGATGAAAGAACAAACAAGCAGGTAGCAGGAAAGGCTCACATCTTGTATCTGTATATGTGTGTAGGTTTCTGTTGTATTTGTGTACTCAACACTCTTAAAGGAACACTCCACTTTTCTCATTTTACAAGTCGCCAGCTGAGTTTTACCATTTTTGAATCTATTTCAATCAATCTAGCTTAGTTTAGCATAACTTATTAAATTGCATTAGACCATTAGCATCTCACTAAAAAATGACCAAACAGTTTTGATAATCCTCCTATTTAAAGCTTGACTGATGGAAAATTTAAAGTTGGACCATATGGTTAGGAACTATACTTTAATACTTTTTTATTTTCTGGCAGTAATAATAAAGGAACACAATATCATTGTGTAATAATAATAACGGAACGTAATATCAGCATAATATTATTGCATCTGTCCCTTGATTATTTAATTTTCAGCAGCTATGAGTACACAATGAAACTACACTGTAAAAAGTAAAAGTGCTTCAAGTACCCTGTTGAGTACTCAAGAAACTTCAAAATGTATTTTAAGTGCCCCAAAGCTCTTTCTCTCAAAAAGGGGTTCCTTGAGGAACCACTGACAGTCTTTGCAGTACTAGCAGGACCCTTTTGCAGTAACTGGGATCCTACAAGCACTTTTTGTCAATACTGAGGTTCTGGAGTCACTGTTTCCTTACACTAAGACCTCGAAGCACTTTAAAAGTTATTGGAGGAACTCAAATTTCAAAAAAGAGTTACTGTAAGATCTGTAAACTTATGTAATGGTTCCTGGTGGATCTCTTTTCTAAAAGCTAGCACTTAAAGGAACCTTTTTTTTTGTCAAAATTAAATAGGACAATTGTGGAGACCAGAAAATGAGATGGATGTTCACTTACTTAATATTTACTTAGTTATTTGTGCTTTTAGAATGATATGAAATTTGGTGTGTGTTTTTTTTGTGTGTGTGTGGCACTCGTAAACACATAAGAATATCATTGATGAGAGTCTAAATGTTAACTTAATTGCACTTAGGAGACTGACTGGGAAATTGTGAAAAAATATGTAAATTTAAAAGTAATTTTGGAGGATAAAATAGAATCTTTAATTTTTACAGTGTACAGAAAAGTCAAGCTTTAAATAGAAAAATAATCGAAAGTCTTTTTAGAATATTTTTGAACAAGATGCTAATGGTCCAATTCAATAGTTTATGCTAAGCTAAGCTAAAAGTTCTCCTTTTAAACTTGGAGATTGATTAATTAGATTCAAAAATGATAAATCTCAACTGGTTAACTCTAGGTAAGTTGTAAAATAAGCCTATTTCCAAAAAAAAGTTAAGTTTTTCTTTAAAAATGTAAGTTTTTTGGCTTTGATGGTTCATGAAGACCATCAACAGTTCATGGAATCTTTCCATTCCACAAGAGTTTCTTAAATGCTTCTTTGGAGCTTTAAAATGTTCTTTGGCTGTGTCCGAAAGCTTTAAAATTTCCCCATTGGAGGCATCAAGGTACGTCCAAATTCAAATTCTGTTTCACTTCCTTTCTACAGAGATATGTTTTATTGATCGATTTTGGAAGGTAGTATAGATGTGTCTTTTGCTTCCTTCAATATCTCACATTCCTGTGTGTAAAAGCTAAACATGGTGCCTCAAAGTTTCTGTGTAATTTTGTGTATTAATGAAACTGTTCTATTAAGAACAGCTCAATGAATGGTTTGGTTCTTGGCAGAAATGGCACCGCACTCTTAAAAAAGGTTTTTATAGGCAAATACAGCCACATTTTCACCTGATGTTGAAAGCAAGCAAAGAAATCCATATATGCAAAGAAAACAAACCTAATTCGATTACAAATGAAGTTATGCGTAATAAAATGAAATGGCACAGGTAAAAGTATTGAACAGATGAAGAAAGGGAGATGTAGAAAGGCAATGGAAGCCCAGACAGCAGTTTTTTTAACGTTTTTATAATTACAGATGCGTACATTTTAATTACGCACAAAATATTTATGACAGTGATTTTATTCCATACAGTAGTTCTTAACATGAATTGTGACCTAAACTATACACTGTAAAAAATAAATAAATGAGAAAAAAATAAAAAATAAGGCAACTTGATGCAATAAGAACTTTGAGTTGTCTCAACAACTGTTTTTTAGTTTTTCTCAGGAACAATTTTTTTGTTCAGCTAATATAATTTTGTTTATTTATGCAATGCTGATTATTGTATTTTACTAATAAAGATATTCTTGTAACATCAACTGAAGCAACAGTTACTGCTGTTGAGTCAATTATTTTTTTTTGTTTAGAGGATGATTTTTTTTCAAATTTGCAAAATAAGTAATTAATTCTAGTTAGCATATCATCCTGTTTTTAATAATTTTACTTAAAAATGAACACATATTTACTACTTTTTATATTTACTACTTCATTCATTCATTCATTTTCCTTTGGCTTAGTCCCTTTATTCATCAGGGGTCACCACAGTGGAAAGAACTGCCAACTTTTTCAGCAAATGTTTTACACAGCGGATGCCCTTCCAGCTGCAACCCAGTATTGGCAAACACCCATTCACACTCATACACCTGTACCTCATGTATTTGAACTATGGCGGAAACCGGAGCACCCAGAGGAAACCCACATGAACACATGCCAACTGACCCAGTCGGGTCTCGAACCAGCGACCTTCTTGCTGTGAGGCGACTGTGCTACCAACTGCACCACTGTGTCACCCCTCTTTCAAGCAACTGATAAACAAGCTTAGTTTTCGATCGTCACGTCACGCATGCGCAAATTATTTAAATATCATCATTCCTGTTCAACACAAAAATGTTTGTCCAGAAAACTCAGTTAAACATGTAAACATAACATTTGAGCAAATATTGTTGACATAACATATTTTTATGTAATCAATTCTTATTCACAATTCTTAGTATATATGACTGAAAAAGTAGTGTGCTGAACAAATAGTGATTTTGTTTTTTATAGTGTAAAGTGTTACCAAAGTTCTTTGTTGAACTAAATGGTTCTTTATGGCATCCTTATAAAGCTTTATTTTAAAGTGTTTTGAAACCTTTTAAGTATGAAAGAAGCTCACTATCAGCTAAACTTACATTCTCTTAAACTAAAATGAATTTTAGGACATTTCAAAATGTTTAACGCATCCTTGCAATCCTACATTCCCATTTCTAAGGCTCTGAAAGAAAAAAAAAACACACACAACCGAATGACTCTGAGAGATTGACTGTCCTCAGGCAACCTTCAGTCTAATGAAATAAATGCAACATGTGAAAGGCAAGAACAATCCAGCCTCTTATTCTCCCTGGTTCTGTACCGAAGCCATCATCCCTAACAGAATAAGGTCTCTCACTCCCAGATAATGAGATGGAATTCCTCCTTTAATCGATGCTACGGCCTGAGGCAGGATCAGATGCGTCTCTGAATCCATATAAATGCTTCTTGAATAGACTGTAATACTGTAATAACTGTAAACATACTCATTTCATTAGCCCATGCTATTTTGTTCAGCTATAACCTTACATAGCTTGAAGACTGTAGATGTATGCAAGTAGGTCGCGCCAGGTCGTGACTCACACAAAAGCGCTCTGTGTTTATTTTCTGACGCACCTGCTCGCAGAAGGATGACCTGATCGTCCAGCGGGAGGTCCGAAAAGTGAGGTATCCGCTTGGCCCACTCCACTAAGGTAAAGAGTTGCTTGTCAGCTGCTTGGCAGATGTTTGTTACAGGGTCGTTCGGCTGGAGAGAGAAACGGAGAGATATGGACACTTCAGTCAGAAAGAAAAATCACTACTGAGCTCTTTTTATGACTAGCCGAGCAACTTTTGCCATGTCCAGGGTTAAAGGAACGTAAAAGGGTAATTTTACAGCCCCTCTAGAGTTAAACTATTGAATTTTACCATTCCATTCAGCCAATCTTTGGGTCTGGCAGGAACACTTTAAGCTTAGCTTAGCATAAATTATTGAATCAGATTAGACCATTAGCATCTCACTCAAAAATTTGATTTCAGTTGCTGCATAATTTAATTGTGCCTGCAATTATTACACCAAAATGAGAGTAAAGTTCCTATAGTTCCTACAAAATAGCAAACATTTCTTTCCATTGGTCTGAAGAGTCCAGGAAAATCACGCTTCAAATAGGAAAATTATCAAAACTTTGCTCATTTTTGAGTGAGATGCTATACTGAAAACCCAAAATAAGTTGACTGAATTAAATTAAGTAAACTTGTTGCCTCAATTTAATTGAGCAATGGAGTCCAAAATTAGCATATTTAAGTTTATTTAACTTGCCGGTTTTGTAGACTATACTTAAATTGTTCAGTTCACCAAACTTAGAACAGTTTAAGTATAGTCTTAAATTCAAGTTCACTCTGAAAACGTAGCCCCGCGGATGTTTCTGGAGGCCACGATTTACGTGGCCGGAGGTACGGTGTGACGCCGCTCCTCTACGCACTCGCTGGCTTACAGCTCACCTCCGTATGGAGGGCTTTCCCGTCGGTGGAGGGGAGAGCTGGAGGGGAGCCGACCGTGATGACGGCGATGACCGAGTTCGAGTCCGGGGAAGAGCGGTATCAGAAATTAGGTAAGACAAAAACAGAATCCAAAAAATAAAGCGAACGAGAATGTGGTGAAATCCAAAAACGCGGTCAAAATCAGACAAGGGCTTTTCTTTTTTACAATGATGCCAAACAATTTAAATGGGTCAAATTTAAACAAACAAATAAAGTTTACTAATGGTCAACTAAATTTGTTTGTTTAAATTCAGCCCACTTAAATTAGCCACTTAACGTAAAAAAACAAGTAAATCCAAGGAATCCTCTTTGAATCATTTTTTCAGTGTACGTTTTAATAAAATAATAATGTTAGAATGGAAAATACATAAATTTAAAAAAAGTCAGGGTACTATAGTTATATTGATTTGTTATAGCAAAGTTTTTAAATTACAAAATCTCTGTAGCCTCTGTAGTTCTAGTGCTTCACAACAACTCCGTGACTGTTCTTGAATGGCCCAGCCAGAGCCCTAACTTAAACCCAATTGAGCATCTCTGGAGAGGCCGAAAAATTTAAACAAAGCCATCCAACCTGACAGAACTGGAGAGAATCTGCATGAAGGAAAGGCAGAGGATCCCTAAATCCAGGTGTGCTGCATCTTTTCCAAAAAGACTCATCGCTGTATTAGATCAAAAGAGTGCTTCTACTAAATACTAAGCAAAGTGTATTTCAAAAATATATTTTAACAATTCTGTTTTTCTGTCAATATGGGCTGCTGTTTCTACATTAATAAGGGAAAAAAATGGGTCCCACTTTATATTAAGTGTCCTTAACTACTTTGTACTTAGATCAAAAAAATAAATACAATGTACTTACTGTGTTTAAAATGTATTTGAGAACACTTGTGGTGCTTTTGAGTTGGGATAGAGGTTGGGTTATGGACAGGCTTGGTGGCATGGGTAGGTTTAAGGGTGGGTTAAGGTGTAAGGGATGGTCAACAGTGTATTTACAAATGTAATTACAAAAGTTAATTACAGATGTAATTACATACATGTATTTAATCAAGCATAAGTACACAGTAAATACATGTATTTACACAATAAGTACATTGTAACAAACTTTTAATTCCTATGTAAGTACATATTAGATAAGGCCACTTAATATAAAGTGGGACCAAAAAATGAGCTTAAATGAGTTTAGCAAATGGCTGCAATATAACAATGAGTGAAATTTAAGGGGGTCTGAATACTTTCCATACCTACTGTACATGAATTCTGAAATAAAATCCAGGTTTTTAAAAAAAAATTTAAAAGATGTTGTAAGCAATATTAATTTTGAGAAATGTTTCCGGAGCATCAAATCACGTAAAAACTTCAAGACACATTTGACTGAAAACTGGAGTAATACTTAAACTTCAGCTTTGAATATCTCAGGAATAAATAGTAAAATATATTCCAGTAAAACCAATCTTTCAAAGCATTACTGTTTTCAATCATATAGAAACAGCCTTGGTGAACTTCTGAACAACGCTGAGTTTCTATATAAATGTGCTCAGGCTTGTATACGGAGAATGCAATAAACAAATTAGAAACAATCACAAAATGTATTCGCGAACGCAGCTGAAACGGCCTTCCAGTTGTTATTGATTTGCCCCTGTTACTTTATCTGCATTCTGCAAAGATACCAACATGAGAAACTCGGCTGTCAAACTCAGTGATGCGAATGGAAAACTGAGCAGATATCTTGTGGAAATCACTCCTGTCATTCGTTCCCAATGGAATACTTTTATTTCCGGCTTAAGTCTTGCTCTCTAAAAGCCTTTCCCTCTGCTTGAATAAGCCACAGTCTCCAGGCTCGAATCAATCAGAACAAGCACTCATGAGCCAAAGGCCTGGCATGGTGGAGCAGTTCATGGAGCAAATTCTGCTATAGGATCCCAAAATCATCATGACTTTCCTAATCATCATGATCATCATCATCCTTCTCCTCCCAGTGAGAGAGAAAAACTGTTACATTTTTGCTTACATAACCTTGTGAAATAGAAATAGACTTTTTTTTTTTTTTTTTTTACAAAGAACATCTGCACAGGAACAAAAATTGGATTTGCTACAATTTTTAAGGTATGTGGTTGCAATCAACTTATGGGTAATTCTTCAACTAGGGGCACTTTTATGTCCTTTGATCATATATCCAAAAATATATATAATTTTGTTCAAATTCCTCTTTCTTTGTCAAACTAACAATAAAACCTACTTTTAAAATGTTAGCTTTCTATTCTATATTTTTTATATTATTCAACCTCCTTTTAGGTGTCAAACTCACTGTTTTCATGTTGTCACACACCCAGAGTTTTAAACTTCAACAATGAAAATACCATTTTAAAATATTATTCATCTGGTAATTATTAATGTATCTTAATTAAGCACTAGTGAAATAATTTAAATATTTGATAGTTATTAATGTGAGACTATTATCAATGTTATTTTTTATACAAAATATAGCTGTCGCACAGTATCAGTGTAATTTGTGTGAGATTATTTAGGTGGTTTCTATGAAAATGAACAGTGCCATCTGAGAACATGTTCAAGATCAAATGTGAGGGTGAGTACTTAAAGGTCCCATGAAGTGCTTTAAAATGTTTGATGTCATTTTTATTCAATGTTTGACGTAATCTCAACTGAAACAGGAAGAGAGCATGTGACTTAGAGTGGCTCCTCCCATTAAAAAAAAAAAAAACAGCCAATAGCAGGCCCGTAGCCAGCCTGGTGAAAGGGGTGGTTCTTTTTTTCTCAAAAAGTGGACCTTTTTGCAGTTATACGCCTCAGTTTTTAACTATAAGATTTAAATACTGCATTTTACTGACTTTTTCGGTCAGATTTGATCATAACCACACTTTTTGATGTACTAAAATATTTCCTTAAAATTGCAATAAAATTTTTTTTAAACAAGATTAATTAAAAAAATAAATTAAAAAATAAATTACATCATATATCAGTCCTAAAGTAAAAAAAACTGTCTACTATAATTTATTAGACAAAAAAACTGGTAGTCAGATTCAACTGCCTCAGTCACTATTTTACATTTCAATAAAAAAAAAACATTAAAACAATAATAATAATAATAAAAAAAATAATAATAATAATACAATATTAATTCATTCTTCAGATTTTTTTATAGCCTCTTTGGTTAAAAAACATAAAGCCTTATTCAATGGATTATTTTCATTATTTATGATGGCATAGCAGTCAAAATAGGACGAAAATAGGACAAATGAGCTCATATATGGGACAAATTCTGGACCTTTGTCAGTGAGGGGCGGGTCTTTCGAACAACCCGAACCCCCCTGGCTACAGGCCTGAAACGTTAGAACACGTTTTATGCTCATAGTAAATGTTTAAAAAGAATTTTGGTTGTAAAAGCGCACCTACAGGTGTTTCAGGCGCAGGTCAGATGTGACGGGATTAGCGCCTTTTGCTGTGAAGTAACACCTGATGGCTGATGGCTGAGGACTCCGCTTGCCATTAAAGCCTTCGTTGGACAGTTATTAAAAAAATAATGTCAAAAATAGGAAAAGGGAGGTCATGTACTGGACAAGTTTATAAACATACAGGACGTCCCGGCTAATGCGGCCAGTTAGCCTATGGATAGATTTCATCTGTTAGGAAATTAGTAACTTTTGCCTAAACGTTACCGTTGTTGGCTTTTTGAACAGTTCAATATTTTGCGGTAATGACGCCGCTGCCTGCCTTTTCTGCCTTGCTCTTTTCGACCAACACTGTTACTCAGTATCCATGTCGCATCAAAGATTCAAATGTTACCCCTCAGTGTGTTGTCACGTGACTCGCTTAACATTATTGAGGCTTCGAGGCTTTTTGGGATTCAAATTACTGGCCAGAGTTAGTGGGGTAGCGCAAAATGCGAAGGCCCCCCTGCAGGGATCACTGACGGGGCCCCCTGATTGGTTGGGGGGGGGGATTAGGGAGAGACAGCACAGGGAAACGATCACAAATTGAGGAGCAGGGAAGGGAGGAGGGGTGGAGCGACAAAGTGGGGAAACCTTCACAAACTGAGGAGCGATCACAAACCGAAAGCGGCGAGAGCGTCAAAGTAGCCAGAAGTCATTCATTTTCAATGAGAGCCGGTGGCAAGAAACAGCGCGACGCATCTTCTCCAGTGTGGGCGTCGAGGATAGTTGAAATCAAGTCAACTTTATGGTATGAGCTATAACGCGGTTCGGCGGCAAGCAATCAGAATGAAGTAGTCCACCGGTTGAGAGGTGTTCAGAGAACACAGACCTCTGAACTTTGGTTCTGACCACAGTTGTTCCCAAGAGTTTGATTATTGCGGTTGCCGGATTTACAATTATTGAAAATCGTGATGACGCGGGGCCCTGTGGGCCCGTCCGCTACGTCACTGGCCAGAGTTATTTAAAATTACACTTTATTACAATATATATTGAATATAAATATATTATATTATTATATAATAAATATATTATATAATATTAAATTACATAAAATAATTAAAGGGACAAACTCTGGACCTTTTGGCCGTGGGAGTGGTTCGTTCGAACCACCCGAACCTCCCCTGGCTATGGGGATGAATAGTGTTTTGTTTAATCACAGTTCTGCCAGTGAGAGTCGTTGAGCTCAAGCGCATCAAATGTGAAGTGTCTTGAAGTGGGCGGAGTTTGTCAGATACTAGAAAGTATTTGATTGGTCATGATTTGATGTATAAGGTGGTGTGAATAAAACCGTTAATCCATTTAGGTACAAGTGACAAACTGCTAGCATTACATTATATCAGTTTTAAATCTCTTAAACGCAAATTTTACCACTATTTTGGTGTGCACTAGCTCTTACATATCCTAAGATAAACAATACTGACACTAACATCTAAAAAACTTTATTTATGGGACCTTTAATAACACAATTTCCATTTTTGGATGAACAAACCCTATACGAATTTCCAATCAATCCAAGAAGAACTCAGATTTACTCAAGCTCTATTCATGTGACCTTCTCCAGAGCTTAAGGTTGAGTACACGAACAACCATTAAACACAATCTAAAAAAATACAAAGCAGTAAAGACAGAGCATATGCCTCCTCCTCTCTGACCTCTGCCTGATTTAGAGCTTACAGCTGCACAAAACAGAGGACAGATCTGCAAAAGGCATAAATATACCCAGCGCTAGTCTAACTGACATGGTTAATGGCTCCGCTCTTATCTAGTGACATGACAATGTGCTTCTCTGCAGTTTGTTCCCTCTCCAGGGCCCTTAATGCCAAAGAGCATTGCTGTGTAGCCCAATCTATCCACTGGGATTGGGATCGCAAAAATAGCTGTTCTTTATTTACAAACAGAAAACGCTCAAATCTGCATGTGACTCTTTCTTGGACAGCTGCAAAGGTCTTAAGGCTCTTTTTATGTTCCAGTTCAGGGTTATGTGTGTGTGTGTGTGTGTGTGTGTGTGTGTGTGTGTGTGTGTGTGTGTGTGTGTGTTTGTGTGTTTCACTTGTCAAATTGACTGTAAAGTACACTTTGTTTTGTTGTTTTGTGTCTGAAGATCATCTGTTCCAGATTTCCCTCAACTGTGACATCACAAGCCCCGCTCATTACTGCTATTACTGCTAACCATTATTATGAAATGCATTTGTTCACTATTGTTATACTGCTATACTTTTCACTTATGATTATAAAAGTAATATGATGAATAACAATAATGATCATAATAATATTATATCCTAGTAAAAACTAGTATAGATATTTACAAAAATATTAACCATAAATTAATCACACAACCATTGTTTTCTAAATGTTGTTATTATTATTAATCATAAAACATCATTATTGTATTATTATTATTATTATTATTATTATTATTATTATTAATTATTATTATCATCATCATTATATACATTACAATTCATATTTAATTGTTTTAATCAGTTGTATTATAATGATGTTTCTCTGATGACTACATAATTTGCTTGAATAATAATAATAATAATAATAATAATAATAATAATAATAATAATAATAATAATATCAACAACAATCAACTTTTGATTAAATTATGTTAAAATTATTATTATTAAATACATTAGTTCACTATTATTATACTGCTACTTCTTCACTTATGGTTATAAGTAATATAATAATATTATTAATATAATAATATATACTAGTAAAAACAGGTATAAATATATACACACATATTAACCATAAATCATTCAACCATTGTTTCTTAAATAATAATAATAATAATGTCATTAATATTAATAATCTTAACATTATTATTATTATTATTATTATTATTATTATTATTATTATCATCATCATCATCATATACATTGAATTAATATTTAAATACGTTGTATTATAATATTGCTTCCTTGATAACTACATAATTTGATTTGTTATTATTATTATTATTAATAATAATAATAATAAAAACAACAATCATCTTTTGATAGAATTGTTAAAATTGTTATTACTATTATTAAATACATGATTTTACTTTTATTTTACAGCTATTTCTTTATTTATGATTATAAAAGAAATATAATAGTAATAATAATAATAATAATATACTAGTAAAACAAGTATAAATATTTACACAAATAATAACCATAATTTTACCTCACAACCATTGTTTCCTAAATAATATTAATGTTAAAAATAATATTGATAATAATAATAATAATAATAATAATAATAATAATAATAATTAGGAAGGGCATCCGCTGCGTAAAAACTAGCTGGATAAGTTGGCGGTTCATTCCGCTGTGGCGACCCCGGATTAATAAAGGGACTAAGCCGACAAGAAAATGAATGAATGAATTATTATTATTATTATTGTTATTATTACTGTACATATACATTATTATTATTATTTAAGTTGATTGTATTATAATGACGTTTCTCTGATGATTACATAATTAGTTTGGATAATAATAATAATAATAATAATTATTATTATTTATTTATTCATTCATTCATTTATTTATTCATTTTCTTTTCGGGTAGTCCCTTCATTATTCAGGGGTTGCCACAACAGAATGAATCGCCTATTATTATTAATATTATTATTTATTATTATTATTATTGACACATTGGCAATAAAGTAAGTTAGGTTACCCAGGATTTTAGTCAGCTGAAACTCATCCGCAGCACACAGTAACAGAAGAGGCTAAAACTTCTGTTTTAGTTCCGTCTACTTCCACATCTGCAGGAAAGTTGCCTTTGCATTTGACATTCAGAATTGATCAAGCCCGGGCCTTTCACTGAGGAGCGATTGTGAAGCGTAACTCTGCGACACTCACAACTCACAGAGCCAAACGTTTCTGCATGAGCTGAATGTCACCGAGTGTGATTTAGATGCAGGGGATTGGCTTACAGAATTGGCAGACGGGCTCAGGTTGGCCTCCACATAGGTCTCCGTCTTTGGTTCTACTGCCAGTTCGGCCTCCAGAATCTTCTCCACGGGCATGTCCTCGTTGGCACAGCCGCCGAATTCAGCCTCGCTGCGCTCCTTCGCCCTCTGACGCTCCTCCTGAACTGCTGCACACATCAACAGAGACAATTCAATTCAAGTCTGCTTGTTTAGCGCTTTTCATACTAATTAACGTTACAAAGCAGCTTAAAAAAGAAACAGAAAAAAGTTATGGTGTCAAGCTTATACAGAGCATTCGTAAAGTATTGATAGCGCTTCACTTTTTCAACATTTATTTATGTTACAGCCTTATTCCAAAATGGATTAACTTAATTTATTTCCTAAAATTTCCACACACAATACCCCATAATAACAATGTGAAAAAAGAGTTTTTAAAATTGGTGCAAATTGATTAAACAATAAATCCCTGAAAAATCACATGTACACAAGTATTCACAGGCTTTGCTCAACACTTTGTTGATGCACATTTGGCAGCATGTACAGTCTCAAGTCTTCTTGAATATGACGCCACAAGCTTGGCACACCAGTCTTTGGGAATTTCTGCCCATTCCTCTTTACAGTATGTCTCAAGCTCTATCAGGTTGGATGGGAAGTGACGGTGTGCAGCCATTTTCAGATCTCTCCAGAAATATTCACTAGGATTTATGTCTGGGCTCTGGCTGGGCCACTCAAGGACATTCACAGCTGTTGTGAAGCCACTTCATTAATATTTTGGGTGGTGGTCATTGTCCTGCTTGAAGATAAACCGTTGCACGAGTCTGAGGTCAAGAGAACTTTGAAGCAGGTTTTTTATTTTTAAATTTGAGGGGGGAGCGGTCAACTCAAGAGCAAACCTCTATAAATAGTCAAACACATCATACCTCTGTATTCTCTTAACTTCAGCATCCCTCCACCACCCCAACTCCACACTTTTAAACCCCATACCTATTTAAATCTGAGGGGGGAGCATTCTGGAGCCGGGCTAGACACTGCGCTAGGACCTTATCTCTCTCTTTCCTGACAAGGGGAATAACTCGAGTTAGGGTGTCTTCCTAAGCAAGGGAGCCCTTTCCCAGATAGCACGGCAAATACGCATATTCTCATATGCCAAGTTCAGACTGCATGATTTTCAAAGTAGTCGTGTCACAGATGTTTTCACACTGCATGACTATCTGGGCTAGCGTTTCGTCGCTGCTTTGTTTACACTGCAAGATGGATCGGTGATAGGGACTTTCACATTGCATGACTTTACTATAGGAAGAATCGCCGACAATTTCGTCCAAACTACGTCTCACAGCCAAAAACACGTTGTATATCTTTTGTTATTAACTACATAATGAGAAAGAAGCCTTTAATGGGGTAGAACATGTACATGTTTGCTCACCTGTGTTTAAAGGGAATTAGCCATTTCTCCTCAACGCTGATAATAAACTAATTTCTTTCTGTATGAAACGTCAAACAGACACGGTTGCTCTTGAGTCCTGTCAAACCTCCACTAGTTTTTCCTCCATTTCGTGGGTCCAAATAAACCGAAAAAGAGTGCTTTTAACTTCTCCCCCAGCCTCCCGCTGGCCTGCAGCAGGTATACACACACGCACACACAAGTGAATGCTGCTCTCTCATTGCCTGTAGGCGATGGCTGATGTTATTTTCAGTCAAAACTCAATTCACACGGCATGATTTGAATCGCCGACAGCTCCAGATATTTAGCACGCCAAATATCTAGCAGGCATCGGCGACTCATCGGCGATTCTCTCAGATCGTGTCTTTGATAGTTCATACTGTGTGATTGTCACTCACGCGCACGAGCAGCGATTTGCCTGTGATTTCAGGCATTTGTCGGCGATTTCTCAAAACCTGTCGGCGAGCCAAAATCAGGGCTAAAATCACGCAATCTGAACTAGGCATTAGTCAAATATCTGTTAGTGTGAACTCGTGAAATTGTTTAATTGTTGCATGCAAATGTTTTATGTGATATTCCAGCATTTTTAGATGGAAACATAACTGTTTCTGTGTTTGTGTACTCAGTGTTTGGTCTGCCAGGTCTAAAAGCACACCAGTGGTCTACAGTGGTCAGCAGTTTAGCTTTCCTCATTTTCAGACTCTCTCTATACTGGGCAGAAAATCATGAGTGTTCCTCGTGGAGGTCAGATGAAGGATAAAGCTGCGCTCGGAGGTGAGGAGAGAGGCAGAAGGAAATGATTTCAGCGTTATTGTGCTGAGAAACCGAGAGGAACGTGTGGGGGAGAAGTGTGTCAGGTTTCCTCTCTCCCCTCACAGGCCTCAGTTCTGGGGGTCCAGAGCTTTTTAATAGCTTCAACAATATACAGCTGAAGCCAAAACGGTTCGCCCTCCAGTGAAATTTTTGTATTCTTTTTTAAAATACTTCCCAAGCGATGTTTAACGGACTATTTTCCACATTATTTGCTATTTGTCTTCTTTTTAAGAAAGGCTTATTTCTTTTAGTTTGTCTGGAATCATTTTTTTTTTGAACAATTGAAGTGGATCATCGTCTTTCATCAAAGTTGTCCCTTAAAACTATTGAACAACACCCATTCTTGTCATTCATGCATTCATTTTTTCCCCCGCTTAGTCCCTTTATTAAACTGGGGTCACCACAGTGGAATGAACTGCCAACTTATCCAGCATATGTTTTGCGCAGCGGATGTCAGCTGCAAGCCATCACTGGGAAACATCCACACACATCTATTCACACTCATACACTACGGACAATTTAGCCTTCCCAATTCGCCTATACCGCATGTCTGAACTGTGGGGGAAACCGGAGCACCCGGAGGAAACCTAACAAACACCAACTGACCCAGCCAAGTCTCGAACCAGCGAATTTCTTGCTGTGAGGTGATCGTGCTACCCACTGTGTCACCGTGCAGCCCCACCCATTCTTGTCTCAGCCCAAATTTGGAAATCTGTGTTAAACCACTTCAAATGTTGACTACTGTAGTTTACTAATGTGGTGTCTTTCAAACCCATTGTTGAACATTTGCAAACAGCGTCACAAACTTTAATATTTATTCAGTTCTCAATCTGTGTTTATAAAGCAAATTTACACACTATGCAATTAATCTTTTGTTCCATATTTTTTTTTTTTTTCGGCCAACAAAAATATTATATCTGGGCCCTAGGCTTTAAATAATAATAATAATAATAATAATAATAATAATAATAATAATAATAATAGCCAATATTTATTTAATTTAAACATTTTAACAAATAAATGTTTCAATAACTTAGTTGTGTTGCTTGCTTGGTGATCTCAGTACAAATCATTGAATGAATAAATGACTAAATGAATTCTATTTAAATAAAAAAACTTATTATTTACACTGATTAAATTAAATTAAATAATCTTAAATTATTAAATAATTTTAACAAACTCAAAACAAATAAATAAATAAAGAAAGAAAGAAAGAAAGAAAGAAAGAAAGAAAGAAAGAAAGAAAGCACTGAAGGCATTTGCAAAAGGAATAAATGAACGAACTGACAGATAAATAGCCAATTTTTAAAAAATTAATGACATTTTATTTTAGATAACTAACTAACTAACTACCTAACTAACTAACTAACTAACTAACTAACTAACTAACTAACTAACTAACTAACTAACTAACTAACTAACTAACTAAATAAAAATAAATAAATAAATAATTTACAGTTAACTCAAAACAAACTATCAAATAAATAAACAGTTCACTTTCTTCTTAGCTTTTGGAATGTTCTTAAACATATAATATTTTGACATTTATTTCATTTCTAACATTTTTTAGTGGACCTACTCCACTCTCTTTACATTTTGTTTAGCTCTACATTCAGATGATTTTAACCTTAAAATGTGTCATTTATTCAACACATTAATCAACCACGTTCATTTCCTTGCCAAACGTACACAGCACTCAATGAGCTGCAAACCGTCAGTCATTAGTGCTTTCAGCCATCTGTACAGTGCGCTGATTGATGCTGATTTCCTTATAGCTTTTTTTTTTTTTTTTTTTAAATCAGATTAAACATTTATCAGACTCAATTGAGCAGGATCAAAATGCAGGATATACAGATTAAAAATACATTAAGGGCAACTGAATTGAACAGTATCTATTGTTAGTGTAACATGTATATTGTGATACTTGTTTGTAATAAGGTAATGAGGATTCCATTTCCAACATTTTCTAGTGGAAATACTCCAAACTCTCTACATTTTATTCAGCTATACTTTCTGATGATTTTAACCTTAAAAAGTGTCATTTATTCAACACATTAATCAACCACGTTTATTTCCTTGCCAAACGCACACAGCACTTAATGAGCTGCAAACCGTAAGTCGTTAGTGCTTTCAGCCATCTGTACTGTTCGTTGATTGATGCTGATTTCCTTATAAAGTTGATAAAAACAAGTCTCATTTTTTTCAATAGTTTGACTTAAAAAAACATGTTTTATTGCATTTATACTTTTTTGAAACAATAAATAAACCGTAACATTAGTAATCAGAATACGGGGATTTCCATCAAAAGCTGTGAATTTTGTTTTAAGTGCAAAACTGAAATATTTATAAATATATAACACTTTTTCCATGCCATGTGCTCAATAGGATAAAAATGATCACTTCCTGGGATACTAGTGTTATGCTGTATATATGAATGTTAAAAAATGTCTCTGCAAGCTGAGGAACTACTTTATTTCTTTTCTCCTCTAAATAAATAAGCTGAACAGCAGGTGACACACGCATGAACAAATTCTGGTATGTTATCTTGTGTTTTTAGTCGCATGACTGATGTCCTAGGAGATAACTATCCAAATCTATTTTAAGGATGAACTTTTGTGTTTGTGGAATTGTTAAAACGAGATTGCAGATGGTTTGTGATGAAATCGCTACACAGGTTTGTCCAGTTATCCAATTGCATCATCTGTCGAGGCCAAATCATATAACTTTTCAAGGCATTTATTCAGTAAATGTGTTCTCAACATAGTTTATGTGCATATTACTCAGCTTATTTTTTATCAGATTAGACATTGATCAGACTAAGTTGAGCAGGATCAAAATGCAGGATATACGGATTAAAAATGCATTCAGGTCAACTGAATTGAACAGTCTCTATTGTTAGTTTAACGTTTATATTGTGAAATGTGTTTGTAATGAGGCAACACACACGTGTTAAGCTGCTGAGTATGTGTTTAATGCACATTTATGCATTGTGTCATATCACTCAGCTCTTTTATATCAGATTAAACATTAGACTTATTTGAGCAGGATCAAAATGCAGGATATATGGATTAAAAATGGATTCAGGGCAACTGAATTGAACAGTCTATTGTTAGTTAAACGTGTATATTGTGACATTTGCTTGTAATGAGGCAACAGACACATGTAAGCTGCTGAATATGTGTTTAATGCACATTTATGCATTGTGTCATATCCCTCAGCTCTTTTTTATCACATTAAACATTTATCAGACTCAATTGAGCCGGACCAAAATGCAGGATATACAGATTAACAATACAGATACAGAACAGTATCTATTGTTATTTTAACGTGTATATTGTGACATTTGTAATGTAATGTGTATTTATATAGCGCATTTATTGTGTATGGCCATACACCCAAAGCACTTCACAATCATGAGGGGGGTCTGTCCACACCACCACCAGTGTGCAGCATCCACTTGCATAATGCGACGGCAGCTACAGGACAACGGCACCAGTACGCTCATCTCACACCAGCTATTAGTGGAGTGAAGAGACAGTAATAGAGCCAAATCGGTGGATGGGGATAATTAGGAAGCCATGATGGATAACAGCCAAATGAGGGACTTTTGGCCAGGACACCTGGGTTTGACCCCTACTCTTTACGAGAAGTGCCATGGGATTTTTAATGACCACAGAGAGTCAGGACCTCGGTTTAACGTCTCATCCGAAAGACATTTATTTGCAAAGAGGCAACACACATGTTAAGCTGCTGAATATGTGTTTAATGCACATTTATGCATTGTGTCATATCACTCAGCTCTTTTATATCAGAATAAACATTTATCAGACTCAATTGAGCAGGATCAAAATGCAGGATATACAGATTAAAATGCATTCAGAGCAGCTGAATTAAACAGTATCTACTGTTAGTTTAATGTGTATATTGTGAAATGTGTTTGTAACGAGGCAACAGACACATGTAAACTGCTGAATATGTGTTAAATGCCCATTTATGCATTGTGTCATATAACACAGCTCTTTTTTTGTATCAAATAAAACCTTTATCAGACTCAATTGAGCAGGATCAAAATGCAGGATATACGGATTAAAATGCATTCAGAGCAGCTGAATTAAACAGTATCTACTGTTAGTTTAATGTGTATATTGTGAAATGTGTTTGTAACGAGGCAACATACACATGTAAACTGCTGAATATGTGTTAAATGCCCATTTATGCATTGTGTCATATAACACAGCTCTTTTTTGTATCAAATAAAACCTTTATCAGACTCAATTGAGCAGGATCAAAATGCAGGATATACAGATTAAAATGCATTCAGAGTAGCTGAATTGAACAGTATCTACTTTTAGTTTAATGTGTATATTGTGAAATGTGTTTGTAACGAGGCAACAGACACATGTAAACTGCTGTATATGTGTTAAATGCCCATTTATGCATTGTGTCATATCACGCAGCTCTTTTTTTGTATCAAATAAAACCTTTATCAGACTCAATTGAGCAGGATCAAAATTCAGGATATACAGATTAAAAATGCATACAGAGTAACTGAATTGAACAGTGTCTTTTGTAAGTTTAACGTTTACATTGTGAAATGTGTTGGTAATGAGGCAACACACACACACACATGTTAAGCTGCTGAATATGTGTTAAATGCACATTTATGCATTGTGTCATATCACTCAGCTCTTACATTTTCTGAAGTGAAAGGGTGCCACTTAGCTTCCAGTTTTCTGGCCGGTGTTTTCATTTACGTTACAGCTTCAAAATACAACTCTAACTACATCTGTCAGTTCTTTGTGTTAAAAATATTTATAATTTAGCCTATATTTCATCCATAACACAACTCAAGCCCAAACTAGGTTACTCTGATGACTTAAAGAAAACTTAGTCACTCTTTTAAGATAAAATAAACCACTCAATAACTTCAGGTGAAAATATTGCTAACAAGGAATCTACCCAATTTGTTCAAATATTTTTTGCCAAATGAAGTATGACTATTTAGCATGGGTGTATTTCATATGGGTGTATTTCAGAGCATGTCCCACTGTCTGTCCCACATATTTATTCTTATTTAAATGTGGCAGAAAGAAAGAACGGACGCACCTTCTCTCTTCATCCCCATGGCTAAGCACTTCTGATAGCGGCAGTACTGGCATCGGTTGCGTTGGCGTTTGTCGATCATACAGTCCTTGTTGTCTCTGCAAGTGTACGTCAGGTCCTTTCTGACCGTCCTCTTGAAGAAGCCCTTACAGCCCTCACAGCTGTACACCCCGTAGTGTTTACCTGCCGGCAGACACACGCTTTAGCACTCTTCCCAGCAGGGTTTCATTTAATTGGCGCTCAGTATCAATAATTCAGCAGCCACCACATCTGTTTTTGTCCCATACTACATGAGAGGCAGAGCATATGGAGAGACCAAATTTATTGAATGCAATACAATATAAGGAAACGACACTATGGAATGACTGATTCTGATTGGTCATTTGGGGGATTTACATTTAGTCATTTAGCAGACACTTTTGTCCGAAGTGACTAATGCTGTGTTCACACCAGACATGGCACACACGAATAAATAGACGTGAACATTTTTGAATTTACTCGCTTCTTTCGCACATCAAATTCGCCAGTGTTGGGCAAGCGATCGGTAAATGTAGCTTGTGTGGACGTTATTGCATTACTTGCTGAAAATATTGCTTTCGTTGTTGAAAATCTAATTGATTTAGAAAGTAGCGACACTACTGCCACTCTGCTGAGAAATGTAGTTAAGCTATTAGCGTCACAAATTGTAGCGACTCTACTGCCCAACACTGAAATTCACTTCATTCCTGCGTCAAATTCCCTTCACAATAGACGTGGATTTCCGTCATGCAGGCCATCTGTCTGCCCGTTGACTGTAGCTTCGTTGCTAAAGGGCTAACATGGATTTTAGTGAGTTGGTATCTGTGCTTCATGTGCTTTAGGGGGGCTGAAAAACAATGTAGGTTTGTTTGGCACCGTGTCTGATCCACTCGATCCTTTCTGAGGTGCACCCAGCTCTGTGAGTTCATAAACTCTTCCAGAAACTATACCTGCATGATGAGTTTGATGAGCTGTTGTTCGATGTCGGCAAGAGGATTTCCCCTCGGAACACCAACAACAGTCATAATCACGCTTCTACAAGAGCAAGCTCCTGATTGGTTAACGAAGTGCGAATGTCCATTGAAATTTAGATTTTTGAACTCAAGTAAAACACCCAAAACTATTAACTCGTGCTGCTTCATTCGGGTCATTCACGCCACATCATTTGTGCAAATCACACCGCAAGATGTTTATTTGCGTCTTTGCATTGACTTAACATGTAAATCACTAATGTTTGATGCTACATCCGTGTCTGGTGTGAACGCACGATGCATAATGGGATTTATTTAGTAAACGGGTTTCTGTCAAAGATTATGCAATTTTTTTTCATAGCAGATAAAACGTTTATCTTCAAAATGTATGCGTGTCTTGGCATTTCCATTAAGTATTTGCGACGAACGAATCGTTGCAGTCAACTCCTCTCTGCATCTCAAGTCTGCCAACGTATGCTACGAGCCATTATACAAACTCGTAACAGCAGGAAAGCTGTTCGTTTTAAAGACAAAATGCAGTCATATGTACCTCTGGCTACATAATTCGCGATCTCCTAAATTGTATATAGGGCTACGTTTTCAGAATGAGTCTATGTTGATTAATTGGGTTAGGGGAGGGTTGGGGTAGGGGGATAGAATATACAGTTTGTACAGATAAAGATAGCTGTGCAAGTGTGTGTGTTACCTGATGAACGGTCTCCGCAAATGGCACAGATGTGTTTGGTGAGGGACAGGGATAGGGTTCCTATGGGCTGCGCCGGGACCTTCATCACTCCGTTCAGACCAAGAGGAGGTTTAATGTCCTCTGAACTACTGACTGCATTCATGGGGGAACTGAGCTGAAAAACAATCAAAATAAATAAATAAATACACAAAGAAAACACTTTTTTTTACTCCTATTGTAATTTTTTTTGGTGTAATCTAATATCCAATTCAGAAAAAAAATTAATAGATCTGGTGCGAATTTTAATTATTGATAAAATATTTTCTGACACGTGTTGTTTAATTTTTTTTTATCTCTACACATTTTTAAACATAATTTTTTTATAACTAATTTATAATAACTATTTTTTTTGTCTTTGCCATGATGAGAATAAATTATATTTTACGTTATTTTGCAAGATACTAGTTTTCAGAATAAATGCAATTTAAAGTCTTAACTGAGTTAATAAGAATAACTTGTTAAGTTAGGCTAATTAGGCACGTCACTATTTATTTCTCCTCGAGTTCGAGTCATTTGATTTTGAGTATCTACTGATACTAAAACCTGATCTGATACCTCTATAATACATAAAAAGGGAATAAAGAAGTGTGAACAAACAGATTCAGGATGTTCTTTATTTTTTATTTAATTCACCTTGTTTCAATAACTCTGTTAACAAACGGAGCACTTCTGTGAGGTAGCTTGAACAATCAGGTAATAAATATCATAAATTCTTCACTTTTGAATTTTAGTGCAACATTAAATATAAAAAAAAATCTAATATATAAACAAATAGCATCTCAGCTTGAAATACCCGGCAGGCAATCCCAAGTTTACAAATCTCACAGTTTGCTCTGGCGTCGTCATCAACTTTATAATACTTCCAGACCACAGACATCTGCATCTCTGCAACAAAAGTGACGTTATGCTGCACGTGTTGCTGTTTCTGTGTGAAGTCAAGAAAGAGGTTCAACTCTGTGCCACTGCGTGAATATAGATGTTAACAAAATAATGAGAATGTATTAGAGTCCTGATCGGGAGGTAACCTTCAATTCCGATTGAGTCTAAAACCCCATGATGATTGGGCCTGAATTCCAATCATGTGATCAGATCTGGAGATCCCTAATATAAATTTAAATATAGGGCTAATATTACTTAATTAAATGTATTATTATTATTATTTTTATTATTATTATTATTATTATTTAAAAAACAAAAATTGTATCCAGCCAAACTTAAAGAAATAAGACTTTGTCCAGAAGAAGAAAAAGAAAATCCTTCTGCTAGATGCTATAGCATGCCTAAAATTAAAAGCAATATATAGAGAGATTCTTTTATTCCCATTTTTTACTTTGTGAGGTTTTAGAATGCTGTGTGTGCTGTTAGACTACTTGTTTGTCTTGTGTGACATTTATGGATTCTATGCTGCACCTATAATTGCCCACTTGGATTATAATACTATATTATATTGAACTTAACCTATGAAAATTTTACCTTGCTGTTTTAAATACAGAAAGATTTTTGTAAAGAAAGAAATTTGTGAAAGAAAAAAGTGAACTTTGTGTATTGTGCTTATGTGCAACAGTGAACTTAGCATTTTTTAAAGTGTGGGAAATTCATTCATTCATTCATTCATTCATTCATTCATTCATTCATTCATTCATTCATTTTCTTTTCAACTTATTCCCTTTATTAATCTGGGGTTGCCACAGTGGAATGAACAGCCAACTTATCCAGCATATGTTTTACGAAGCGGATGCCCTTCCAACTGCAACACCCATACACTCTCTTTCACACACATACACTACAGACAATTTAGCATACCCAATCCACCTATAACGCATGTCTTAGGACTTGTGTGGGAAAACGGAGCACCCGGAGGAAACCCACGCCAACACGGGGAGAACATGCAAACTCCACTCAAAAATGCCAACTGAGCTGAGGCTCAAACCAGTGATCTTCTTCCTGTGAGGTGACAGCACTACCTAGCGCATCGCCCCAGTCATTATATAATTTTCTAAATTTGACGTTTTCTCGTTTTCTCCCTAGACACCTTATTAAATCGTATCAACACTAGTTTTCAGAATAAGGCCAGTTTGAGGTCTTAATTAGGTTAATAAAAAGAAAACTAGGCTAGTAATCAGGCAAATAGATTATTCTGTAGAAAACTGAAACAAGACAACGCAGTGGTGCAGTAGGTAGTGCTGTCGCCTTACAGTAAGAAGAACATTAGTTTGAGCCTCGGCTGGGTCAGTTGGCATTTCTGTGTGGAGTTTGCATATTCTCCACGCATTCGTGTGGGTTTGCTCCAGGTGCTCCAGTTTTCTCCCAAAAGTCCAAAGACATGTGGTACAGGTGAATTGGGTAGGCTAAATTTTCAGTAGTGTATGAGGGTGAATGAGTGTGAATGGATGTTTCCTAGAGATGGGTTGCAGCTGGAAGGGCATCCGCTGTGTAAAAACGTGCTGGATAAGTTGGCGGTTCATTCCGCTGTGGCGACCCCAGATCAATGAAAGGACCAATCTGAAAAGAAAATGAATGAATGAATGAATGAAACAAAAACTAGTAAATAGGGGGCTAATATTATTAAACCAAAATTTTATTAATGGGGTTTGCCTTAGGCAAAGTCCATTCTTACTATTGTGGTTTATTATTCTGTCTTCTTCTTCTTCTTCTTCCGTACACTTTTTCGGCGCGTAACTAGTCCCGCAGCTTTCGTCCCAGACCCTTGAAAGTGGGCTCAAATTGTGCGGCTTTATCGGGAATGGTGTGCTATGACTTTTATAAGGGGTGGGTGGTTTTGGGGCCCCGCAGGGGCCCCAAAACCACCCCCCAAAACGCATTGACTCAACATTACGCCCAACTTTGAAAGTTTATAGCGCCAAGTGTGAAATTCATAGAAACATGGGATTCACAGCATCTGTAGGGGGTTGCAGCCTAAGCGAGAACATACCCCGCAAGGGGGTATAAGTTGCACCCCTGGGGCTCTAGGACGTCCCAAAGTGGTCCCCATTGACTTACATGGGCCCCATTGACTCCCATTCATTTTCTAGACACTCGTAGATACTATTCCCGGAAATCGCCGTAGCGCCAACAGGGAAATTCGTAGAGACATGGGATTCGCAACATCTCGAGAGGGTTATAGGAGGCTTCAAACCACACCCCGAAACGCGGTAAATGTTGTACCCCTGGGGAGCTAGGACGTCCCAAAGTCTCCATTGACTTTACATGGAGCCGAACTTTAACCAATCACTGTGTCCATTGTGAATTTCATAGAAATATGGGATTCACAACATCTGTAGGGGGTGGCAGCCTAAGTGAGAACATACCCCGAAAGCGGGTATAGGTCGCACCCCTGGGGCTCTAGGACGTCCCAAAGTGCTCCCCATTGACTTTACATTGCCCATTGACTCCCATTCATTACATTGACTCCCATTATAAATGTCATATGTCAATCACAGTACGTGGCAGTGTCATACTGACTTGGGGGTTGTCTTATTTGACTTAGGCAACCAATCAGCATCTCAATATGATATTTGAGCTCACAAGCCACGCCCCCCCAAACCACTTAAAGACCCTTAATAACTGCCCTATTGACTTAACATGGGGTGGGACGTCCCATTGCAGATCCCATTGACTTCCATTATAAAGGTCACACATCTATAACATTACATAGGAGTGTCATAGAGACATGGGGGTGGGCTCATTTGACTCAGGCAACCAATCAGCATCACTCTATGATAATGAAGCTCACAAGCCACGCCCCCAAATGGGTCCCATAGACTTCTATTATAATAGGGATAGATGCATATCTTTGCATTGCAGTGTCATATAGGCTTAGGGGTTGGCTTATTGGACTCAGACAACCAATGAGCTTTTCAATATGATAATGAAGCTCACAAGCCACGCCCCCAAGCTGGCCCCATAGACTGCCATTGTAACTGGTCCACATGCATATCTTTGCTTAGCAGTGTCCTATTGACTTGGGGGTTGGCTCATTTGACTTGGACAGCCAACCACATTCAAGTTCACTCTGTAACCTCGCCCATAGCAACAAAAGAGAGTACCCTAGCAACCATTCATCAACAGCTATATCTCAGCATCAGAACATCGTAGACACTTGGGGATTGGCTCGTTTCACCCATGCTAGCAAACGGAACTTCCTATATGCTACACATGCTAGCAGTGACTAGCTACATGCTAATATTGACTAGCCAAGTACTGTAACTTGCTAGAAATGCTTACTAAGTATAAATATTTCATCAGGCATGTATGTGAGGCTTGCCTAGTAACCACCCAGGGTACCCTAGCAACTGCCTAGCAACCACCCAAATTACCCTAGCAACCGCCTAGCAACCACCTAGCAACTGCCTAGTAACGCCTTAGTAAGGGCCTAGCGACCACTCAGGACACCCTAGCAACCGCCTAGCAACGCCTTAGCAACCACTTAGAATACCCTAGCAACCACCTAGCAACGCCTTAGCAACCACCTAGCAACCACTCAGGGCACCCTAGCACTGTTGCTAGCATGATGCTAGCAACTCGATTATCATGCTAACATCATGCTAACACGATTAGCATAACGCTAGCTACATGCTAATCATGTTAGCATGATGCTAGCAACTCGATCAGCATGTTGTTAGCATGATGCTAACACGATTAACATCATGCTAGCTACATGCTAATCATATTAGCATGATGCTAGCAAGTCGATTAGCATGTTGCTAGCATGATGCTAACACGATTAGCATTATGCTAGCTACATGCTAATTATGTTAGCATGATGCTAGCAACTCGATTAGCATGTTGTTAGCATGATGCTAACATGATTAGCATCATGCTAGCTACATGCTAATCATATTAGCATGATGCTAGCAAGTCGATTAGCATGTTGCTAGCATGATGCTAAGACGATTAGCATCATGCTAGCTACATGCCAATCATGTTAGCATCATGCTAGCAACTCGATTAGCATGTTGTTCTATTGGCCAGTTTAGTACCGTTTTGTACCCCATCGATTTGCCACGCAAACCCCATTCACATTTCCTTTAGGAAATGTACAATTCTAGTTATTATTATTATTTAAAAACTGTTTTTATTCCAGCCAAACTAAAAGAAATAACGTTCTCAGAAGGA